TTGCGTAGCACCTCTTTACAGTAATATACAAACGCTAGGATTTGCCATCAATGTGTAATATGAAGTATTCCCCCAATGTCACTCTTCTCCCCCAGCTCCTGTGGTAACAGAAGATTATGCGAACTTACAGTTTACTCCGACCAAAACTCGGTGCCCGAACTGCTCTAGCTTCATCACCACAGAGACGTACACGTCCGTGAGCAGCATCACCTGGCTGGTCTGCATGAGTACCGCCATGATGGGGTAGAGAACCGTCTCCACCTGCTTTGCATGAATAAACACATTTACTCTACATGCTAAAGCTTTTTGGTTTGGTTGCAGGTGCGTTGCTGGCTGTTGTTTCATCCCCTTCTGTTTGGACAGCTTCAAATCTACTTCACACAAATGTCCCAAGTGCAACTCGCTAATCGCCACCATCAAGAAACTTTAATGAGTTGTGAAGAAGCCAAACCTGAACCCATAAACAAGTACTTTTCCTTCAGCGAACTGTGATGCTGTTTTGAAAAATAGATTAAGATAATATAAGATTATGCTGTATAAAATGTAAATTAGTGTGTTCCGTCTGGGGGTTCGTTTTTTTTGTCAAGAGGTGAAACTCGAAAAAATAGAATATCGTTCAACAGTACATTCATTTCTGATGTGAAACTAATATATGATAGACTGATATATGCAAAGTTATATTGGTAATTGGCTCACAGCCCAAATAAAACCAACATTTGAATGTTTTGGCACAGGTCACTTTGCATGTTATGAGTCTCTATCATATGTTGGTTTCACATTTTAAGTTAAACTACAGAAATAGATTCAATTGGAATGTTTTTCTAATTTTCTGACTTTCACCTGTATGTGGGAGTTTAGTTTGTTGTGCCTTGAACTTAGTAATTTGTCTGCACCTAGATTTTAGTATTGATTTGACCACCATGATACTTTATTTCTTTCAGAAGCTAATAAAGTAATCTTCTCCTTCTCAAAGTTCATACAATTTGGTGAAATTGATTCAGCCTATCAATGGGGTACCTACTTTTCAAAATGGAAATGGTGGCTCATAATTAAAACCATCAAACTCATTCCTTGGTCTGAAAACATTTGGATGGACAGTAGTTTATATATCACTGTGTGCGTCACCGGGATAAACAACTGTGTTCATTCTGAAAGTAAAAAGTTAGGTATCCAAGCTTTACCATATGGCTCCATCATCAACTAAAACACATACAGTACATAGATCATAGAAAATAATAAATTTGGTAGTAATTGACAGTGCAATTATGAGTGTTTAGTTACCCCTCTGGTCTGCAAATATTTTTAAGACTTGTTAAAGGGATAGTATGTATACAATGCACTCTTAAATCTAGAAACCGTACAAACTCACATGTTACATGTGATACTTATTTTTGTATCTGCTTTCATTTAAAAAGATGGGTGATACAATTTTTTGTTTCATAATTTTGTTATTATATGAAAAAAAAAGAAAAAGATAGAGCCAAAACCAGCTAAATTTCATCTGAAAAAACCCAAACGAGAGCCTCCTTCTACTCTCTGATTGGATGATATGCTTGAAAATCCTTAGAATAAATATCATGGTAATGTCCACTGCATTTGTAGACGTTGATCTATTATCTGGGGACACAGATACAAGACAAAGATGAGAAAATGTCTAAAATACTGTTAATATTGATGGATTAAGTGCTAAAAGAAACATCAACCAATTATGACAGGAATTTAAGCTTGATTGGGTTCTAATTCCCACAATAAGCTATACCTATATTTACAACAGTATAATTGAAACATTTTGCTTTTAATGTAAAGCACTTAAAAGTATGAAAGAGCTGTGTTTACAAATTAGTATAAAAGATAATGACATAAAAATATACATATTCAAATACAGACGTTATGCATTACAATACATTTCGGTGTTGAGTTACATTGATATAGTGTTTTTTTTTCCAGCACTATGTTCCCTCTCAAAGTGCCAAGGGAAACGGTGATGACGAACGGACCACCGCAAACATTAGTGAAAGTTTACAGCTGATTTGAAATGCAGATGTCTTTGGAAAACAGCTGAAGGCGCTTTGTGGTCAGAGGTGGAATGTTCGTACGGCCACATCAGGTCCACCATCTTGAAAATCTCACATTCAAAATGACTGGGAGATGACTATTCTACGTACAAATGAAGCTTTTTAGTGCAAAGTATGTGCAAACGCTGGTCCTATGTTGGAAGAAACGAAATGGATGAGTACAAGCGAGACAGATGCAGACATTTTGGAAAGGAGAGAAAGTTGTCCAGTACCAGAAGGGCTCGACAAATATATCTATACATTTAAATATTTTAGAGTTAAGTTAATGTGGACAATCTTGAAGTAAAATTGACCAATGGGACAAGCAAAAGATTCTCTTTTTTTTTTTGCTTCTAGGGTGCATTCTACAACTGTCCAGTGAAGTTCAAGTGCTCAAGTTCATTTACATGTTTGGCCTGAAATTTCACACAGTATGGCATCAAACTTTCTATTCACATTGGAAATAGTTATATCTGTGGAGAGGCAAGTTTTCTCACTGCAAGAATTTTACTTTTTAAGCACTAAAATTCTCACTAATTTTAAATAGTTTAAAACCAAATTGAGCGAGAAAAGCAATAACATCTTTGGCAACAAGCCTCTATAGCGAGTCCCATCAGAACAGTTGCAAAAGTCACTGTTAAACTATGAAAATAAAAAGAAACAGTGCTTGGAAACTACTGGTTATACTTATGATGCAGAGTTAAGACCATAGTCTTGAGCATTTTAAAAAAAAAATATATATATATTTTTTGAATGGGAAAGAGGTCCTCGAAAGAAGCATCAAACAGGAAAACAGGAAAAAGGCAAAAATGTAAACCTAAATTTAAGTCAAGACAATTATTATACACACAATCAAATTTAAACAATGGTGAACTTGTCAAAAAAAAGAGCAAATCCGATTTTTTTTCAGTGTAGTGAAGAATTGGTCTCTTTGAAGTTGTTTTAAGTACACATCTGAACAGTACCTCAGAATGCATGTTGCGTGTATTTGACAATATTGAACCATATTTGACAACATAGAGAATATTCTGTCCTATTCCCAATTCAAGTGCATTTCATTGGCGTCTAAAAAGTCGGAGGAGAAGATGGCTACGTGGGCGGTCATGTCTGTGAGGTCCAGCCAGTCCATGCTGTCCTCATTGTGCGGGTCGGACGCGCTGCTGTCAAACTCCATGTGGACGTGGTGCAGCGCGTCATCAGTCTGTTTGAGAGTCTGCGCGGCCGGGAGCTGAGCCACGTGGACCACTGCTGGGGGGCGACAGAGCACCGTGTTTATGGGCAGGGTGGACACACACGCAGTGACCGCCAGAGGGGGCTGAAGGCTCTGACGCTCCGGTTTGACGAATGGAAGGATCTCTGGAAAAGAAATCGCATAAGGTAAGGCAAGTTTATATATATAGAACAGTTCATACACAAGGCAACTCAAAGTGAAAAAATAATAATAATAATAATAATAAAAAGGCAAAATTACACAAGATATTAAAATCATCAATTATCACATTAAAAAGAGTGAAGATACCTGAGGAAATACTATCAATGTGAACACGCATTTTATTGGTTTAAGAGTTCGCACAGATTTTAAGCTGGAGTATATTTCGCTTATGTTTTCATTAATACAGTGTTTGTCCCAACAGAAATAGTTACCACAACATTCTGTCTCTTAAAGAAAACATACCATCTTTTGCAATGGCTACTTGTCAGAATGTGACAGCGGACATGACATGCATGTGAAAACTGAAAACAGTTAGATCCAAGCTGTTTTGAGAGCGAAGACCAAGTTAGATATATTGTATTACATAATTTCCTGTTTTTGTGGTTTGAAAGTGACGTACCCCAGCTTTAATGTGACTGATCACAATGTGGGTTTCCTGGTGGACAGCCATCACCTGCTTATGTCATGGAAATGATTTGCCTCATCTTAAATCGGGGGTACTCAAACTGAAGTCAGCAAGCCCAAACAAATATGTATTAAATCATGTTTAGTTCAATATGAAAAAATGAAAATGTTTTTTAACATTCATTGATACATTTTCTGCCAAATATTAACCTCAATGCATTTGTATGAAAACTTGACCTCGACTTGGACTAAAGAGTTTTATAGCAATGTTGTGCGCTGCGTTTATATATTTGTTCAGTGTAATATAACCAACCTATTATTAGATTATGATTTTTACTAACCTCCAGTTTCAACCAGCACATCGAACAGGTCGTCCATCTGCTGACTCGACGCAGACGGACACTGAAAAGAAAATATAAATAACGCTCAACTAATGGCTTTTCAGTTTCGTGGGGCAATGGGAAAAAAAACTAATATAACTACTATGCATAATACTAAAAGATGATTGTAGAGTAGAGTTTTTTAAACAAAAGAATGCGCTTTGAGTCAAGAATAGTAAAAAAAAAAAAATCTGAAAGTGATGCCTCTACTTCACTGCATACATGAAATAGTAAAAAGTGAAAATAAGAATCTTTATTCGTTGCATATTGGGGACATTTCAAAAGTGCAACACACAGTACAGAGTGAAAAAACTGTAAGCATTTAAAAGCTGTTACTGAAGTCTTGCTGATAGAAAGATCCCATAAATAGAAACGTAATTGTAAACGCAGACGTGCACATTTCAATTCCATCCATCCATCCATCCATTTTCTTCCCCTTAATCCATTTCTGGGTCGGGGGGGTGGCCAGAGATGCCACCCAGCACACAGAGCACCAGCCCCTCACTGATCCTCCTGCAGGTGGTGAGTCCACAGGAGCTGAGATCTTTCAGTGGGAAAGATTTTTCATTTCAATTCCTTAATTTTTTTTTCCAAGATTATGCATGTACCGGTATGTAAATGTTGCAAAAAGCCGGCCATAACATTTTGGGTCATGTAGAAAACTAATCACAGGCTATTACCCAATATTAGTAAACTTTATACAGTAATAACATAAGTAAACTAATTTCACACGTCCAGTCCGTACCTGTGCGACCATCCCCCGCGTCTGCTTCACCGCCTCTTCATACCGAGGCGGGTCTTTGGACTTGGGCGGCAGCAGGAGCAAAGGCGCTTTGTTGTGGACCTGCGCAGATGAAGACAGGAGTTTAAAATAGTTCATAATTGTAACAAAAGCACCAGAGAGATTACAATATAATTATTATGACGAAGGGAGGGAGGGAGGGAGGGGGGGTGCGCACCTTGTCTGCAGATGTCTGGTTGTTGGGGAACGTGAGGAGCGCTCTATCTGCCCACGCCTGCACAAATATTTATACTGGTCAAAAACACGCCGCTCCACTGAAATGAGTTCAACCTGGGACGGAACAGCCTTCTGCAACTGCTTATTTATGCTTATTCACAAACAATTAGCTGGTATTTAGCTGTAAATGACTAAATGACTTACAGACGCTCTAAGGAAAAAGGCTTTTGAAATGTGCAATAAATGATTAGTGGGACTATTATTTACGGCGTGAGTAAACACTGGTCATCAATCAAGAAATTAAAATGTACCTTTTATTATTTTTTTCCGTTTAGACTTTTGATATTGTAACATTCTTTCATTTTCTATAGAAACACAGCTAATATTGCACCCTTTTTCAGCACTGTATAATCGAGTTTTTGCTGTATAATAACTTTAATAGTTTCTTTCTGGTATCGAAAGGCCTTCTACTTGCCCTGCATATTGTTTCATCCCACTTTCCTACCATAGTATTTTCATCCTGTTTAGAAAATCCACTGTATCTAATTTGTATTCCCTCACATTGATTCAAGTTTTCCACTGAACTATTATTACCACATGCTCTGATATAGACATTGTTTTTGGCCTTATATTGGCTGTATGTGAAAAGTAATGGGTCTGGAGCCTCGGTTGTTGCTGCTTAGTAACTGTGAGAGGGCAGTAAGGCCACGACCGTCCACACCTGCTCCTCCTCCAGCCGCGGCGCTGACAATAACCAGGGCCTTTCAAAAACTCCACGGCTGCATCCAAATTCATAAAACATACCTTACTCGTCCTTTAAAATCAAGCATTTATGAGAACGTGGTAGCTGCAGGTTTGGTCAAGTAGATTTGTCAGACACTTTAGGACTATACAAAAATGCCTCTTATGTCAATTAAAAGAAGAGGGAGGGACAAGAAAGTATGAGGAAGGAAGCAGTTAAGAATTTGGATGCAGCCTTCTTCAACTGTTGGAAAGTAGAGTGGTTCAAGAGACACAGGAAACGGGGTCACGGTTTAAATCACGATTAGGAAATTGCAAAGACACCCATTTGTCAGAATCCCTTGTTTAACTTGAGTCCATCGCTGCTTTGTTTGTAAATGTAAATTCCTAAATTCTTGTACAAAACGTTTTTTTTTACACCATGATCATACCATCATATCCCATCTACACACCAATTTTCAGCACAATTTGTCCAGTAGTTTTTGTGCAAACTCACCTACAGGCAAACACACACAGGCATTTACAGTATATAGTAATAATATATATTCTGCAAGGAAATAAAACTAAACTAAATTAGCCAAAAACGACAGAAATTAGGAAGTAAGGTATTTTCCAATCCAAGGCCAACCACATTTCTTTCTTGCAGGTGAAACTGAATCAAAGAGTAAATCTGAATGTTTATAATAAAAGTTGCAAAAAATCACGAATCCCTAATTATGGCGAGCAACGATGTGTTCAAATGCTGCCTGTACTCTATCTCTGATGCTTCTTCAACTCAAGATGTGTCCGATTATAAATAGTTTGGGTTCAATGCAGTGAATCATGTCCGCTACACCTGCCTCAAAGCATTCCAAACGGCCCACTCTAAAAATAGAAAGCCACGGCATAATACTCAAACGTTAAACAAATTGTATTCAAAATGCAGCAGTTCTTCCGAATTTCTTGTCATGTTCCATTTAATTTCCCTTTTTGCTCGTTTCAGGATCATAAATATGTAAATGTTTAAACGTGTCGTCATGTTTTAACTGTTAAAAGGATGGAATAGACACAATAGAAACTTAGAATTAAACTTGTATATGATTTAGAAATAGAAAAATGGGCAATATTTCTGTTTGCGGATAGGGGACAATGTAACTCTGGGAGATTTACGAGATTTACAGTTTTTGATCTTCACATTTTTGACTCGTGAATCTTCCCATTGTTGTTAATCGTCTTCACGCAGCTGTTCTTAGGCTCACGGCTCAAAGCTCTTTCAACTGAGAGCAATTACTGTATGTCTTCAAATTTTTGGATAACAGCGCCGCTTTCAGACGCCTGTGATAATTCTGTTGATAATATGCCGTTTTTGATTGTCCCGTCTGATGCTGAGCTCTTCGGCTTCTTTAAATATACATTTGAATAGTTTATATGCAATAACAGATAAGCGCCATGGAAACGTGTCGGAAAAGCTTACAATTTTCTCTTTGCCGTGTAGTTTTGTGAAAAGCCAGATCTATTTTAGTGCCATACAAATAAGGTTTCTTGCGCAAATTCCTTCAAGTGTATTGCCATTAACAGAACATGTAACTAGAGGAATTTCCAAACGGAGATATCTGTTTTTGCATATGAGCTCTTTATTTTTAGTCTAGAGCTTTTGGGGGAAACTTTTGTGTTTATTCATTCAGACAGAAAAGAGGTTGAATCTAGTGCCAGCGTTTTTCTCTCATGTGAATATGATGAGTAATGACAAAGATATGGTAATAGTAATGAACTTATGTGTGTATTATCACATGCAGCCCTGCACAGCAAACCTCCTCTTGAGGACAATAAAGCTTATCTTATCTTATCTTATGAAGAAGCTAACGGCTAATTCCGCCATCGGGGTCTAAACCGATTAGTTGCCAAAGAATTGCTACATACAGTAAGTTCCTGAATCCAGATTACTTTCTTTACAGTGACCTAGGGCTGGGAAACCAATGATCCAAGTAAAATGAGTCAATCTTTTGGAAAATCTAAGGTTTGAAATACAAGGTCAGGATGTCTCTTCTCATCTCTGTCTCTTAAGGCCTTTGTAGTTCCGCCCAAAAAATAGAAGAAAACAGGTGAACACAGGACCTCTACAAAGTGCTATACCACCAATAGCACAAGGATGTATAATAAATGTACATTTTTTACATGTTTAATTTACCGAATCACTGCATTTGCGGTTATTATAGGAGCATAAAGGGACAGGGTTTGAGATGGGCCTACAAACTATGTCTTTCCCTTTTCCATGTTGTTTTTGAGTACTGTACGTGCATATGGTCTGTTTCTACAGTATACAGTAACTTTTAGGGTTTTGTAGTTTGACAGAGCAAACGGATGAATAGAACCCCCTAAAAATCCATAATGAATAAATAAATAATGAGTGTCAGCAGAATCTGTAGGGAGCACTGTTATGGTTAAATCTGTTTACCTTCCGAGTGTCCTGCTGCTGTAACTGAGCCGAGACTCGTGTGGCGTTTGGTCCCGGAGGAGACGGACTGTGTAAGTTCATGGACAGTCCCGTGGCCTCTTCTTTGACCGGACACATGTTGGACGAGCAGCTCAAAGGTGTGACCACTTCCTCTTTGACCTGAAAAAGGCCGGGACAAGGCAGAGGCGGAGGGGAGTCGCCTTGTTGAAATCTCTTCTCCACCTCCAGCTGCAGTTTTAACTCCTCCACCAGCCGCTGCTCTCGCTCCAGCTTCCTCAGCAGCTCCTCTATCTGCCGCTCCTTCTCGAACAAACGCTGGTCCTTGTCCCCCTCCTCAAGACCCTCGGTGGGGAAGTCCTCGGGCGGGACACTGTCTCTGAGGCCCAGTTTGGACACTTTGGTGGTGATCGGCGACACGGGAGGACTGAGGGATTCCACGCGGTTTTCATGGTACGAACGGAGTCTCTCGATCAAGTCCATTTTAGTCCCAGACACGGGTAAAGACCGCAGTTTCAGCTCCGTCTTTAGTTCGGCAACCTGTCAAGAATGGCATCAAAATGTGGAATTACTGACAATATAAAAGTATAATTCATTAAAGCATGATTTGTTTTGGATCAGTCTTTAATAATGATAACAATTTATATCTTATATTAATCACACAATCATTGAATCCTTAGAAACAGTGTTCAGTGCAGAGTTGAGTGGAAAACAGCCAACTATATATTACTTTTAGATATATTACTTATATAGTTGGCTGGCTATTCACTTGCACTAGAATACACAGTACAGTGCCTTGCGAAAGTAGTACTTGAACCTTTCAACATTTCGCCACATTTCAGGCTTCAAACATAAAGATATGAAAATTATATGTTTTGTCAAGAATCAACAACAAGTGGGACAAAATCGTGAAGTGGAACGGAATTCATTGGATAATTTAAACTTTTTTAACAAATAAAAAACTGAAAAGTGGGGCGTGCAATATTATTCGGCCCCCTTGCGCTAATACTTTGTAGCGCCACCTTTTGCTGCAATTACAGCTGCAAGTCGCTTGGGGTATGTCTCTATCAGTTTAGCACATTGAGAGACTGGAATTCTTGCCCATTCTTCCTTGCAAAATAGCTCGAGCTCAGTGAGGTTGGATGGAGAGCGTTTGTGAACAGCAGTCTTCAGCTCTTTCCACAGATTCTCGATTGGATTCAGGTCTGGACTTTGACTTGGCCATTCTAACACCTGGATACGTCTATTTGTGAACCATTCCATTGTAGATTTGGCTTTACGTTTTGGATCATTGTCCTGTTGGAAGATAAATCTCCGTCCCAGTATCAGGTCTTTTGCAGACTCCAACAGGTTTTCTTCCAGAATGGTCCTGTATTTGGCTCCATCCATCTTCCCATCAATTTTAGCCATCTTCCCTGTCCCTGCTGAAGAAAAGCAGGCCCAAACCATGATGCTGCCACCACCATGTTTGACAGTGGGGATGGTGTGTTCAGGGTGATGAGCTGTGTTGCTTTTATGCCAAACATATCGTTTTGCATTGTGGCCAAAAAGTTCGATTTTGGTTTCATCTGACCAGAGCACCTTCTTCCACATGTTTGGTGTGTCTCCCAGGTGGCTTGTGGCAAACTTTAAACGGGACTTTTTATGTTTTATGGATATCTTTGAGAAATGGCTTTCTTCTTGCCACTCTTCCTTAAAGGCCAGATTTGTGCAGTGCACGACTGATTGTTGTCCTATGGACAGACTCTCCCACCTCAGCTGTAGTTATCTGCAGTTCATCCAGAGTGATCATGGGCCTCTTGGCTGCATCTCTGATCAGTCTTCTCCTTGTTTGAGATGAAGTTTGGAGGGACGGCCGGGTCTTGGTAGATTTGCAGTGGTCTGGAACTCCTTCCATTTCAATATAATTGCTTGCACAGTGCTCCTTGAGATGTTTAAAGCTTGGGAAATCTTTTTGTATCCAAATCTGGCTTTAAACTTCTCCACAACAGTATCTCGGACCTGCCTGGTGTGTTCCTTTGTATTCATGGTTCTCTCTGCGCTTTAAACAGAACCCTGAGACTATCAAAGAGCAGGTGCATTTATACGGAGACTTGATTAGACACAGGTGCATTCTATTTATCATCATCAGTCATTTAGGACAACATTGGATCATTCAAAAATCCTCACTGAACTTCTGGAGTGAGTTTGCTGCACTGAAAGTAAAGGGGCCGAATAATATTGCACGCCCCACTTTTCAGTTTTTTATTTGTTAAAAAAGTTTAAATTATCCAATAAATTTTGTTCCACTTCACGATTGTGTCCCACTTGTTGTAGATTCATGACAAAAAATTAAAATTTTATATCTTTATGTTTGAAGCCTGAAATGTGGCTTTTGCAAAGCACTGTACCTTATGCTTGCTTCTTGTTTTGCCAAAAGTATAGATTTCACACTTTTTTATTATGCTAAAGTCAGAGTTGTTTGTATGCTAAAGATGTAGATTTTACACTTGTTTCTTCTTCATGCTGGAGAGATTTTTATTTTATTGTATTTAGAGTAATTGTTCATTTATCTTGTCTTGTGTGCTATTTATTCCTACTGTTCTTTAACTGGTGACACTGAAATTTCCCCACTGTGGGATGAATAAAGGATCTCCGGTTGGTACTCACGGAAAAGCCGTAATTGTTTACTCTTCTGTAATACATTTGTGTGTTTTAAAGCTGAGATACCTAACTGTTTTTCTTCTCATAAACCTTTGCATTGGCCATCCTTCACTGATGTCAACGGGAAGACATGACTGGAATTGCTGCTATTTCCTTTTTTTGTTTTGCAGTTGCGACTTTAGCATCGTGACATCACCAAATAGTTTGTGTGTGTTCAATCCGTAGAAGGCATTAAAGTCCAGTGATGTCGCCTGATTGTTTTGGCAGACTGTGATGATGTGACCAATTAAAAAAAGGAAAAGAAAAACTGACGTTCCTTGAAATATGTATTCATAGATTAACACTTAAAAAAATACATAAGAATGAGCCCTGGGAGGCAATATCTGATGCTTTGGGCTGAGAGCTGAGAGCTGATTGGCTGAGTGAGGGTAGTCGTCCCTATTTCACTTTTCTATCTGAAAAAGCTGATCTAAAGACGTGACAGAGGCCAAAAATGCATACATGTGAAAAACAGGAACTATGAAGATATGGATGGTTAAATTTTGTTTGGTTTGAAAGCTATATAACCCAGCTTCAATTGTTGGAATAATATTAAAAGCAGAAAATATTCAACTATTTCTGACAGAAGGAAGGAGGTACGGTAAATATCTGTACTATTTAAGCAGGCATTTAGAGACAGATTCCATAATATTCAAATGACCTTTTTCAATTCCGTGTAAGATCCAAATTGAAAGCGTCTGAATATAACAAGACGTCACCTTCATGTCCTCCAGATTGGCTGGTAGCTCCGACCTGTGATCAGTGGGATTTGGCAGAAGGTTTAAAGATGAACTGTTTCCATTGCACCCGCTGCTCTGCACTTCAGACGTCTGACTGAAAAAAAAGGGAGGAAAGCGAATTTAAGGAACTATTGTCCATTAATCACAGTAAACTTCTGTGTAGGGAGCAGGAAATGTGGAGTATTTGAGACACACAGCAGCTGGGGTCTTGTCTCCAAGCTAAACCGGGTGTTACTAAACTAGAATCCGTGTGTATTTACTTGACACGACTGAATAAGATCACATCTCAACTAAAGGGAAATGTGAGCTGCTTTGTGGGTTTTTATGAGATGTTTTTATGAGACTTGAAAAAGGTATTTTAAAAGATCAAGACACGATAATTACTACACACTGCTGCCAATGTATTAACCACTATATAAAAGAACACATTCGTTTTTATCATCAACACAGAAAGGCCACGTCTCAGAACCATTACAATTGGATGCTGGTCATTTTAAATTAATTTCTGAATGTTTTATTTTTGTAGAATATGGCAACCCAAAGCAGAGACTTGTGACGCGAGGCCCATTCTGACATCGGATGAGAGCTTTGTAGACTTAAATAATAAAACAAAAGTGTTAATTTTGGCCTTTGAAAATGATAAATAAATGTTTTAGTTTGTCATTTAATAATTTAAAATGTGATTTATCTTGAGTATGAAATATATGGTGACAGATGTGACAAGGATAAACACAGCTCTCTATGTATATCTCCTAATGCTACCACCAGAGGGATACAATACAACCACTGTTCTGTAAAGTGTGTCTTTCTCCTGAGATTTTGCCAACACTAATTTATAGGGATGCACTGATACCACTTTTATCAAAACGGATTCAAGTATGAGTATCTGAGTACTACTTGCCGATACCAAATACCGATACGAGTACTGCAATGTAATTATCCCTGGGAATTCAATTATATATGTTAGCAATAGTTTTAACGGTGCTAGCAAAGGTATTATACTCGGTGTGGTGGTGAGTTTTCAGATGTTTGATCAAATTTCTGGTTAATCGTGTTTGTTTTGGACCCACCTTGTGACTTTTGGGTATTGGTTGCCAGCATTGGGTCCTATGGTATGAGTACAAGTACAAGCTAGTACTGATACAAACCAGTATCGGTACCGGTGCAGCCCTACTAATCTAGGGAGAATAATTTTGTTTTAAAAAGGCAGAGAACTATTCTGAGTGTGAAGTCATCGCTTGACTGAGAAAGGAGCTTTGAGACAGAAGGGGCGGAGCTACATGTTTGTGTCAGAAGTTCCTGATATTAGCACGGACGGATCTAAAAACCACTTCAGGTCTGTTCTTGATGAGGGAACATAACTGAGACCTGGATAATATTGTATGCCTTCTTTAAATAACTATCGTGTGTAATCAGTAAAATCAGTTTTTTATTTAGTTATCTAACTTGTTTATCATGAAAAAATGAATTCATAAAAGAAAGTCCTACATGCTTTCCCCTTTTTAATCACACACTTGTGGATCATCTCCCGTCATTGTGATCCTTTTAATGAAAATGTAGTCGATCGATGGACAAATCTCAAAAACCCCAAAGAAAACAAATCTTATCCACACAGTCATTAAAAGTGAGGTCTCACCAGAGAGATGGTGTTTGGACAGGGTTATAGCCGAACTGCTGCTGGCTGAGAATCTGGAGCTGTAGAAACTGCTGCTGTTGCTGAAGGAGGCGAGCGTACGCAGAGTCCATGGGAACGTCCTGCTCTTGTTTCTGATGCGGAGGAATGTACTGGTGATACTTCAGCTTCTTCACACGCGGCCGCGGATCTCTGCTCTTTTTACTGCGACCTTTTTCACCTGTGGCTCGGGACAGGCTCTGCTGCAGAAGACATAGACGTTAAAACATGGTGATGGCGAGCCTAATACCAGGATATTGTGAGCTTGTAAGTGACAGCTAATTGAAAAGAGCCTAAAACACATCGAGGAGACATAGTAGTACCTTTTCGGGTATAAAATAACTCATGGTTTTACATTTTGTTCACTCTATTATCATTTAACATGCAGAAGTCAACCAAAATACAACCACTGAGTAAGCTAATGATGAGGAAATAACCATTAAACAGCGATACATCATTAAATTTGATAATTGCTTCTCCGCATCTTCTTTTAGATAAAACATACATTTCCATATATACCACATATATGGCATTTTAAAGCTGGGGTACCTACATTTCTTGTTTCATAAATAAAACAAGTTGTATCTTATTAGGAAACGTTTTATCTTTTACATAAACGTCCACCTTTTCCTCTTGTCCACACTCAATGCTTTGCCTGAAGGACCTTGAAGAGCACTTTGTACTCTTAAGGCTCTTCTACTGTTATGTAAACAACAAACTGAGGTCTGGACGAGCACTCCCAGCTCTAGTTTGTCTACAGCCATGGAACAAAAGTATAGAAGAAAAGACAAAATCCACTGATATAGATGTAGAGAGAAAAATCTGGAACAATCTTACTGAAAATGTGAGGCAGGCCTCCTCTCTGACAATGTTTGAAACTAGGTTCATCTGTGCATAAAACTGAGGGATTTTATATTTTTATCTTTCTTTTTAATGTACTGTGATTATTTATGACTTTATTGCTTTTGTTGTCTTGTTCAGCACTTTGAGTTGCCTTGTGTGTGAATTGTGAGTATAAATAAACTTGCCTTGTCTTGGCTTGAGAAAAATAGATTAGCTTGTACATAACAGAACATACATAAAACGTACAGTAATGTCAAATTCATAAAAATAAAAAAAAATCATGAAGGCAATTCAATGTATTAAATTCTGTCACTAGTGAGGGAACAGTACACATATTTACAGGACAAATATGAAGCAGATGACGGCTATGGCTGAAGTTGACATTACAGACTGGACTTTGCTGGATCAGGAAACTGGTCTCCATTTTGTGACGCACATACTGGAAAAAGGTGCATATCTAGACTTTCATCCGTAGCTAAAGAAGACTGCAATAACGGAAAACTATCTAAATGTATCGGAAAAAAGTTCATAAGGGAAACCGAAATGATTTGAAGTCTTGAATTTCTGATGGACCATTATTCCCTAGACAACTTCGAAGCGAGCGACGGCCATGGATGAACTTGAGACGACATGCTCATTACAGGCAGGACACGGCTGGATCAGGAAACCATTTTTCTTTTAACACCTGAGATTGCAGGATACAGATGGAAAGGGCTTGGCATATTAACACGTCATGCAGCAGTGATGAAAGCTGGGACTGAGGTAGACTAACCCGAAGCTCAAACATCCAATTTATCTTGCTCTCATACTCCAGGGAGGATAGCGGCGCTCTGATAAATGCCCAGACCACTCTCCAGCCCTTTGATTCCTGGCTTAGGTTTTATGCAGCCTGTCATTCGAGCCTAATTGAAGACAAACTCGGCCTGGCACAAAGTTTACAACGAGCACTCAAAATCCCTGCTGTCTTTGAACTCAGCCGAGAACGGTGACCCCTCGAAAAGACGACGTGGCTGTAAGTATGACAGAACACAGGCCGTGCATCTTTGACATGACACGTCGCGGTACTTTTCCCAAAGCAAACACACATTGCGTTGCAGTTTGGGGCGATGGGGTTAATGCCAAGCCAGATGTACGCGGACACTCACGCCATGACACAAAAGAGAAAAATCATTACCGCATTTGAGGTTGTAAAAGTTTGATGTGGTGGAGAACATGATCTATGTTGAAATGGATGATATTCTCTGCATTATGTCATGGTTCAGCTCAGGTATTTTTAATTTAAAGGTGCATTATGTAACCTTTCTGGCATGTAAACTTTGTGTAGTGAGCTGGCATAAGCTCCCTAGTGAAAGTAGGGGGCGCAGTATAAAAGCCTGTCAATTGCGCTACCTTGCCTCTCCTCTATCCAACGTCACATCCGCCGCACGGGGCTCGGAGCGAGGCAGGCTAGTTGGGAGGTTGCTATGGGTCGTGTCGGGGCGTCAAGCCGGCGGCTGAGGCTTAAGGCCAGCAACTGGGTGGTGCCCAACTTTACTGCGTCGCTGCATTGTGCGTGTTGGCCCGGCTACCGCATAGCTGAGCATGGTCAGAGGCTCGGGGTCTCGGTATGGTGCGGGGAACGCTACACTTTGCTTTCTGGGTGCTGGCGGCGTGCCCGCCTCCCCTTCTTCTTGTTTGGACGAAATCTGCAGACGAGTCGTCTGTTTTTAAGAACTATGATGCTGCTTAACTATGGACAATGACCGAGAGACTGTGGTCAGTGTGCAGACGTGCGCCCTGCGGAATCAAGATAACTGGAAACAAAGACCTGATGTACAGTAACAGAACCTATTTATTACCAAGAGTTGCTCCATTAAAAACTAACCGAGTATTGTTTAACTTCTGCCTCTGTCCAGTCAATTTAAGCTTACCTGTGTGCCTTAGATCCGAGTACAAATTGGGGACATTTTTGGGTATCATATGCCCTGGCGTTGCTGGTTATGTATTTCCGCTCCGTATTGCCACATTTGGCGTCCGCTGGCAGGATTAATTGCATAAGGACATTGGCAGAAGTTCTGAATTAAATGTGTAGTAATGTATCAATTTGGGTGGTAGGCTATTCCAACGTGGTCCTAGAAGGTCTGCGGTCACACTCTGGCTACTCTGCTTTATCAGGTACATGGAGAGCATGTCAAACCTTGTCCTGTGTGTTTTATTTTATTGTACAGTGTGTATTTGCATGTAGTGTTGTGTGCTGTATCATATAGATGTTTTAGGACGTGGGACATAATGTGACACATGTAATGATGATGCCATGTGCTAGTGTGCTCCTGCAACTGTGACATGGCCTAGGTGTGATATGCTTAAGCACCACCTGTGAATGTGTTTAACAAGAATGAATGACCATCATAGCAGCTATAGTGTTTTATTTTCTTGTGTTTTGTCGTTTAAGCAAATCTGTTGAGCGAGGATAGTCTACTACATCCATCCATCCATCCATCCATCCATTTTCTTCCGCTTTATCCGTTGCCGGGTCGCGGGGGCAGCAGTCTAAGCAGAGACGCCCAGACTTCCCTATCCACACACACTTCCTCCAGCTCATCCGGGGGGACCCCAAGGCGTTCCCAGGCCAGCTGAGAGACATAGTCCCTCCAGCGTGTCCTAGGTCTTCCGCGGGGCCTCCTCCCGGTGGGACGTGCCCGGAACACCTCCCCAGGGAGGCGTCCAGGAGGCATCCGGAACAGATGCCCGAGCCACCTCAACTGGTTCCTCTCGACGTGGAGAAGCAGCGGCTCTACTCCGAGCTCCTCCCGTGTGACTGAGCTCCTCACCCTATCTCTAAGGGAGCGCCCAGCCACTCTGCGGAGGAAGCTCATTTCGACCGCTTGTATCCGCGATCTCGTTCTTTCGGTCATTACCCAAAGCTCATGACCATAGGTGAGGGAGGGAACGAAGATTAACCGGTAAATCGAGAGCTTTGCCTTTCGGCTCAGCTCCCTCTTCACCACAACGGTCCGATACAGCGACCGCATAACTGCGCACGCTGCACCGATCCGCCTGTCAATCTCACGCTCCATTCTTCCCTCACTCGTGAACAAGACCCCGAGATACTTGAACTCCTCCACTTGAGGAAGGACCTCTCCACCCACCTGCAGAGGGCAAGGCACCTTTTTCCGGTCGAGCACTATGGCCTCGGATTTGGAGGTGCTGATTCTCATCCCAGCCGCTTCACACTCGGCTGCAAACCGCCCCAGTGCATGCTGCAGGTCAACATCGTCCGCAAACAGCAGAGATGAAATCCTGTGGTCTCCGAACCGGACCCCCTCCGACCCCTGGCTGCGCCTAGATATTCTGTCCATAAATACAGTGAACAGAACCGGTGACAAAGGGCAGCCCTGTCGGAGGCCAACATTCACCGGGAACAGGTCTGACTTACTGCCGGCAATGCGAACACAGCTCTGGCTCCGGTCATACAGGGATCGGATGGCCCTCAGCAGAGGACCTCCGACCCCGTACTCCCGGAGAACCCCCCAAAGGACACCCCGGGGAACACAGTCGAACGCCTTCTCCAAATCCACAAAGCACATGTGGACAGGTTGGGCGAACTCCCATGAACCCTCGAGTATCCGATGGAGAGTATAGAGCTGGTCCAGTGTTCCGCGACCGGGACGAAAACCACACTGCTCCTCCTGAATCCGAGATTCGACCATCGGCCGTAGCCTCCTCTCCAGTACCTTGGAGTAGACCTTACCGGGGAGGCTGAGGAGTGTGATCCCACGATAATTGGAACACACCCTCCGGTCCCCCATCTTGTAGAGAGGGACCACCACCCCGGTCTGCCACTCCATTGGCACTGCCCCCGATCGCCACGCGATGTTGCAGAGACGTGTCAGCCAAGACAGTCCTACAACATCCAGAGACTTTAGATAGTCAGGGCGGATCTCATCCACACCCGGAGCCTTGCCACCATGGAGGCTACCAACCACCTTGGTGACCTCAGCCAGGGAGATGGATGTACCCGCCCCAACATCCTCAGCCTCTGCCTCTGTAACGGAGGACGTGACGGGGGGATTGAGGAGAACCTCAAAGTATTCCTTCCACCGCCCGACAATATCCCCAGTCGAGGTCAGCAGCTCTCCACACGCACCGTACATGGTGTTGGCAAAGAACTGCTTCCCCCTCCTGAGGCGTCGGATGGTTTGCCAGAATCTCTTCGAGGCCGACCGATAGTCATGCTCCATGGACTCTCCGAACTCCTCCCAGTCCCGGGTTTTTGCCTCTGCAACAGCCCGGGCCGCGGCACGCTTGGCCTGCCGGTACTGGACAGCTGCCTCAGGAGTCCCCCGAAACCATCATGGCTCGATAGGACTCCTTCTTCAGCCTGACAGCATCCCTTACTGCCGGTGTCCACCACCGGGTTCGGGGGTTGCCGCCGGGACCAGCACCAGAGACCTTGCGACCACAGCTACGAGCCGCCGCATCTGCGATTGAGGCAGAGAACATGGTCCACTCGGACTCCATGTCCCCCTCCTCCGCCGGGACCTGGGAGAAACTCTCCCGGAGGTGTGAGTTGAAAGTCCGTCTGACAGGGGGCTCAGCGAGACGTTCCCAGCAGACCCTCACTATACGCTTGGGTCTGCCAGGTCTGACCGGCTTCTTCCCCTGCCAGCGGATCCAACTCACGACCAGGTGATGATCGGTTGACAGCTCCGCCCCTCTCTTTACCCGAGTGTCCGAGACACGCGGTCGAAGGTCAGATGATACGACAACAAAGTCGATCATCGACCTCCGGCCTAGGGTGTCCTGGTGCCACGTGCACTGGTGGACACCCTTGTGCTCGAACATGGTGTTCGTGATGGACAAACCGCGACTGGCACAGAAGTCCAACAACTGAACACCGCTCGGGTTCAGATCAGGGGGGCCGCTCTTCCCGATCACCCCTCTCCAAGTGTCACTGGCGTTTCCCACATGGGCGTTGAAGTCCCCCAGGAGAATAACGGAGTCCCCGGACGGTGCACCGTCCAGTACCCCTCCCAAGGACTCCAAGAAGGCCGGGTACTCTACACTGCCGTTAGGCCCGTAGGCCGTCACAACAGTGAGAGACTTGTCCCCCACCCGGAGGCACGCGACCCTCTCATTCACCGGGGAGAACTCCAACACGTGGCGGCTGAGATGGGGGGCAATGAGAATGGCCACCCCAGCTCGCCGCCTCTCCCCGCGGGAAACTCCAGAAAAGTGGAGCGTCCAACCCCTCTCAAGGAGTTGGGTTCCAGAGCCCAAGCTGTGTGTGGAGGTGAGGCCGACTATCTCTAGTCGGTATCGCTCAACCTCCCCCACGAGCTCGGGCTCCTTCCCCCCCAGTGAGGTGACGTTCCACGTCCCAAGAGCCAGATGTTGTGTGTGCGGACTGGGTCGCCGAGGTCTCCGCCTTCGACTGCCGCCCAGTCCTCTCAGCACCGCTTCACCACGGACCCCTCTGCAGGTGGTGGGCCCACAGGAGGGACTGCCCACGTCATCCCTTCGGGCTGAGCCCGGCCGGGCCCCGTGGGCTAAGGCCCGGCCACCAGGCGCTCGCATACGGGCCCCGACCCCAGGCCTGGCTCCAGGGTGGGGCCCCGGCTGCGCCATGCCGGGCGACGTCACTGTTTTCATTTCTGTGCTGTCCATGGTGTCTTCTGGACTGCTCTTTGTCTGACTCGTCACCTGAGACCTGTCTGCCATGGGAGGCCCTACCAGGGGCATGAAGCCCCAGACAGCATAGCTCCCAGGATCATCCGAGTACTCAAACTCCCCCACCACGTTAAGGTGGCAGTCCAGGGGGGGTCTACTACAGTACATGGCGGAAAATCGTTTCACTGTTGCGGCGTCGTGAGTCCTAAGTGTCTAGAAGGGGAGGTATGGTTATGGGCGGTGTGGTGTTGGAGTGGGGACAGCACCAAGCACTGTACTGTCATGATCGGTGCACTCGCTTCGTACTGGGTGTAACGCCTGGGGTGGGGGGCCTTCAGGGCATCACTCCGTTGTCAGTGGCGCCCAGGATAAGCGCGTAGACTGCAAATTGTTTTTATCATCACCGGGACGGCGATAAAGAAAGGGGGGGCAAATGTAGTGAGCTGGCATAAGCTCCCTAGTGAAAGTAGGGGGCGCAGTATAAAAACCTGTCAATTGCGCTACCTTGCCTCTCCTCTATCCAACGTCACATCCGCTGCACGGGGCTCGGAGCGAGGCAGGCTAGTTGGGAGGTTGCTATGGGTCGTGTCGGGGCGTCAAGCCGGCGGCTGAGGCTTAAGGCCAGCAACTGGGTGGTGCCCAACTTTACTGCGTCGCTGCATTGTGCGTGTTGGCCCGGCTACCGCATAGCTGAGCATGGTCAGAGGCTCGGGGTCTCGGTATGGTGCGGGGAACGCTACACTTTGCTTTCTGGGTGCTGGCGGCGTGCCCGCCTCCCCTTCTTCTTGTTTGGACGAAATCTGCAGACGAGTCGTCTGTTTTTAAGAACTATGATGCTGCTTAACTATGGACAATGACCGAGAGACTGTGGTCAGTGTGCAGACGTGCGCCCTGCGGAATCAAGATAACTGGAAACAAAGAACTGATGTACAGTAACAGAACCTATTTATTACCAAGAGTTGCTCCATTAAAAACTAACCGAGTATCGTTTAACTTCTGCCTCTGTCCAGTCAATTTAAGCTTACCTGTGTGCCTTAGATCCGAGTACAAATTGGGGACATTTTTGGGTATCATATGCCCTGGCGTTGCTGGTTATGTATTTCCGCTCCGTATTGCCACATTTGCTTTTGATTTGTATTGTTACAATTGATTACAAATGAGTTGGCTGGCTTTTGCGTATGGCCCTATAATTAAAGTTGGAGTACCTAACTTTTTTGACTCCACACTAAACTGCACCATTGCTTGATCTAAGTTCAAGCGACAATAACATGTGTAAATGTATGAACTAAACATTTTCTAAAACTATTTCAAGAAAAATGTATGCCTTTCAAAACATTTTTGTTGAACTTTGGGGACATAATTGTTACATTTAGGACATGGAGGCTTTGTGAATGGAAGAATGAACAGGACAGAGAAGACTATTTCATGGTTAATGGTTGGAGATATAACTATAATCAATATGTAATTATAGATTTTACATTATACAAAAAAATAGTATACAATAACTGCGGACAAACTAGGCGTTTTGGACGTAACAATCATGTCCACTTTTGTTACGTTCAAAACAGCTGTCTTAGAGCGCTGTTAATAATACGGGCATGAACAAATCGAGAAATCTGTGTTTACTGTAAGTAGTGCCCCTTTCACTGGGCAAACAAGCTGGGGCAAAACAAGAGTGGGTCTGTGAACATTCAGTGGACATTATGGGACTTTTTTGTGTCATTGACCAAAATGTAACACATTGATACAGTTTAGTGTGGAGTGAGCCTTAGCCTAAAAGAGTCTTGTAAAAGAAACAAATTGGAACACAGCTTTTGACATTTTACATACTGAGAGGTGACTGGCTGATCTAAAGATTTGACGGACAAACATACTCGTGAAAGAACCAAACAGTTTTGAGAGGTAGAAACTAGTTACATGGATTTATCTGGTTGCTTTCATAATTAGGTACTCCAGCTTTAACAGCAAAATATTACAGGCAAAGACATCTTTCGTCAACAGTAAGTTACATAAGGCACTTTCTGCAGAGAATGAATAACTTTTCCAGATTGAAATAATTCTATCTTTTTTTTTTTAAATCATCAAGAAGAAAATGAAAAATAAGCACAAATAAAAAATACGTTGTAAATAAATAGTTTCATTAGAGTTACCTTGACCAGCACTGGACCGGGCGTGGCAGTATGAACCAATGGAGTTCTTGGAGCAGCTGTAGTAACCTCGGCTGTCTGTTTGGGTGAAGACTGCAAAAGAAGACACAAGTCGTTATTAAACCCATTCTGACAATTTAATGAATATACAATCCTGATTCTACCTGAGTGAGGGAGTTACAGGTGGGCGAGAGCAGGATTTCTTTCTCTCCACTTTCTCTTGAGGAACTGGAGCTGTCAGACCTTTGGCTTCCTGGAGACGAGCCATCGCTGCTGTCCTCGTCAAAGCTGTATGCGTCTGGGGTCTGGATGCTGCTCATTTCATCGCCTAAACATAATACGTCATTAAAGCTGGGTTACCTAACTTTTTTTTATCATGAATGCTGTTGTTTGGCCCAACAGATAGTCTTGTAAAATATAATGTTGGGAAAAAACGATCAGAGTTTCAGTGTTGCATCACAAGTTATAGAACAGTAGGAAAGAGGAGCACACAGCACATGATCAGTGAACAATAGCTATACTAATAATAAAACAAAATCTCTAACTGTAGCATCAAAGAACAAGTATCTTTGAGATTTCTTAATTTTATAAAACAAAAACAAAAATCTTTTGCATTCTTTTGAGGAAGACCCCTGTGAGTCACTATTTGACGCTTTGGGCTGAGAGCGGATTCACAAAAAACATTGCATTGGTTGAAAATTAGGTACCCCAGCTTTAAGATCAAGAAAATATCAAAATCCACAGATTTGAATAAATACAGAAAATATAAATGTGTTATATAAAGAAGAATATAAAGAACCAGTCAGTGAAAATGACATTAGGTGTGAATATTTCTTTAGGGGAAAACCATATATTCAAACGGTGTAGTGCAAAACCTAAAGTTGTTTAAAAAATTTAAAAAAAGTACCATTCACAGGCTGTGAGTCCTCTGCTTGTACAGGCAGGATGTTCTTCTCCACCAGCTCCATGGGGCCCGGTCGCTGCGAGAGCTTCTCCTTCAGAGAGTCAGCGAGACGAGCTCTCTTCAGCATCAGCTGTGCAGCCTGCAGCGAGGAGTCCGCCTGTGTCTCTGGGAACAGACATCATAATGTCATACAAATACTGTTGCAAAGAGAAATATTATGCATTATTTTTGGTCGTGAAAGTGATAATGTGTATTTAGTGATAATGAGACTATTCCATTTTAGCGTTTAGAACGTGAAATAGTATCTTAAGTAGAAAATATGATGACACAATTTGAAGGAAAAAAAAGTCTTTCTGTCTGTAACTCCTTATGCTCCCACCTGCGGGAAGTGGGAGCAGACATGTGATTGTAAAGAATCTAATTTAACTTGAGACATTTCCAAAACTTTTGCTTTATACTTTTGAAATAAAAGACAGAGACTGCCCCTACATACTAACATACTATTACTGGACTGAGACAGGAGCTCCTAGACTTCAGAGCAGTTACATGTTTGTACCAGAAGTTCCTGATAATACCATGGATAGATCTAAAAACAACTCCAGGTCTCTTTTTGAGAAGGGAACAACACATAATAACCCAAACAACACTTAATAACCTAATTTCAAATACTGTACTCTATAACACATGTTATAAAATTGATCTTTATTTTACTGGATACAATCTACTTTATTCATCTGAGATTTCAGCTTTATCACATCTTGAACTAAAGATAACTACCGGCGGCATTCTGCCAAAAGGCAGAGTTAGGGTTCAGATAAGTCTGGGCTTTGAAGAATGATAAGACAATGACAGTTACAGTTACAGCAGGGCTTGTTACCTTGGAGGATGTGCATCCGGACCAACTCTGAGCGCTCAGGTCGACGGCACAGTTTATGCTTCAGGAAAGTCCCTGTCTGCAATAAAAAGTCATTCATTCTTGAGTAAACACAGTCATGATCAGTGTTTTGTTGATGATACAGCTTCAGTCTCACCCGCACTCTCTCCAGGCTGCAGATCTGCTCATGAAAAACAGCTGGGCCTTTCGGGGCTAGAAACACCAACAGCAAGTATTATATTTTTATTTTGAGTCTTAGTGTCACACTTGCCACAACAAAGACAAATGGTAATGATGTCATGTGAAAGATTACTTGACCTTTACTTAAATGCTTTTGTTGCCAACCCACAAGCTATAATAAATAGGCCAGTGTTTTTCTTTCTTTTTGTTCAAGTATAAATTGGTTGAGCAATGGGACTATTCTCTCCAATATTTCAATGGTTGCTATACTTGAGTGTAACCAAGCAGTTAATCATATGAAAATAGCATTTTGGCCTCTTCCTTCTTGGAATGTTTGCAAATCATCAACCGTGTATCAGTATAACACACCTTAATTTGGAACCAGCACAAAACCAGAGAAAAATGTGTTAACAATTAACTTTATTGTCCCAGTGGGGAAATCTGTCCTCTGCATTTGACCCAATTATTCAACACCACAAGGGCAACCTGTCGCTCCTGCACCTGGGGAAACTTTATCATTAAAAGCAAATATACAGTTGTGCTCCAGAGTGTTCCCCCTCCAGGCAGATTGTTCTATTGTATGTGGCTAAAATTCAGACTTTATGAATTATAGCGCAATTGTTCATTCATTGTTAGTGGTTATGTGAGGTCATATATTGCCATGTGGGGTTCTCAAATGAGCAGTTCATGCAAGGCAGCCAAGGAATTTACAGGAATTTAAGCTTCCTGCTAAGAAGAATGGGCAGCTTTACCAATAGAGGGGATACAGAACCTCATCCACAACTACCACAAAAGACTAGGAGCAACACATGCTATTGAGAACTGGGGGATGGAAACTTCTAATCAGGGTAATTTGAGTTGTTTCTGTTGTCAGTACAACGAAAAAAAGTTGATGTTTACTTATTCTATAAAATGTTTTTTTTTAACCTTCTTTCAGGAAACCTTCTTGAGACAATTCAATCAATCAATCATTTTTTATTCATTGAGCCCTTCACAACACTCAAGGTGACCAAAGTGCTTTTCAATAAAATAACATGAAATCCATTAAAACATCCATGCAATCAAAAATGTCTCAATAAATGTGTTTTATTTAGACTGGCTTTTAATCTCTATAAAAATTCAAAACATATTGTTATAGAGATTAACAGTTTGTTTTAAATTGTTAATCTCTACAACAATGGCCATATAACTTGTCATCATTCTGAGCACCTGTTTAATCATGGAGCTAACGTCAGGCCGCAGTGACCACCTCGGATTGCTAATGCACGGCTCATCGGCGCGGCCCGTCACCTTCCCCTGTTTGCTTAAGGACAGTGAGAGGGGGGAGAGCGAAGAGTGTGTCAGCGGCGAAACCAAAACATTCCTGACGGAGCAAAGACCTCGGCACATACCTGACATAAGCTCACAAGTGGAGACGGCGGAGTTTTGAGCGGTTCTTACAGGACAATCTGTGGCCTGTGACAGTGCGGCTGAAAACTGCTCATCAAGAGTTGAAGGCAAAAGGAAGAATCTCTCATCAGCAAAGGAGTGAACCTCAAAATGTTGGCAAAGATGAGGCCGTTACATCATTGCCAAGGGTATTATTAGTATAAAACGCTCCAGAGCTTTCAAATGCCGCTATAATCTAAATTCTTTGATTTTTAGATTAAAGATTGTGATGCAAATGATTGACGCGTACAGCACCGTTTATTCATTAAGTAGGGAATAAGAAATAGATATATGATCAATGGATGGCCCGAAGCATTTTTAGATTTCAATGAACTTGATTTCACTGCTTAGAAACCCAAATTCTAGCTGGCAATCCACAAATAGAATCTTCGCCTGTGACACTTAGTAGAAATGTTTCAAATGTGGAATGTCTTCAGGCAAAGCAGTAGATTATATATTGCTGCCAATGAGGTTTCTGGGCTGGTTCCAATCATGGATTTAAAGGGGATGTCAGTAACTTCAAAAGTATTTATTTTTTCAAATAATTTGACCACCTGGCCCTGCACTAAGGTTTAAATTATGGGAAAAAATGGGAAAATATGGGAAAAAAGTAATACAGTCACTTGTCTTGGAAAAACTACCACTAGCTACGGGGAGAAGGCTCGTCCAAAAAACAAAGAATTTGAATTTATTTTGTAGTTCAGGAAGCAGGAGGAGGGAGCATTCTTGAACTGAAAAATTCAGAGAAAATGACATTCCCTCTAAATAACATTATAGATTAGTTACGATTGTAAAAACGATTGTTACGAAAAAAAAACAGAATCAGCTAATGTTCATGTCACATATTTTTTATAATGTATACAAATGTTATAATTGTTACGTTTTCCATTTGAAAATATTTGACAAAGGTGGCCAAACAAAGGGAACAACAATTGACACTCTGCTCAGTGTGTCAATTTTTGTAAATATGATAATAATAATGTTTCACTAAAAATGTATAGATTATGGTTTCATTGAAGAAATCTCCCATAAACCCAGTGCAGATTACCACACCCGAGTCACATTATGATTCTGTGTTGACCTCAAATAGAAAATATAAATTCAATCAAAACCTCAATTACAATAAACAAAGCGAATAATTATCAATCCTGAGTCACGCTCTCTCAAAAAAAAAGAAGCAGATTATGGAAAGCCCAGAGTCTGATGATAGGTCAGTGACGCATGTCTGCTCAGTACAATGTCTGGCTCAGGACAGTTGCAGCTGATAAGTTATAGCTGAACATCAAAGTTGAGGCCACACGTACAGCCTCCTCTGGTCAATATAAACTACAGCCGGACTGGAGTTAAAACATCTATAAACAAAGCAGCGCGGACATGATTCAAGACGAAAACAAGGATTAGAACCGAAGGCCTCGCTGATAAATGAGGTGCAGCTTTGGCAATGTTCACACCACAGGCACAAGAGTGGTCCAAGTTTGCATACACACTTTAGCACTAAATCAGTTTTATTGTTCGGCCGCGTATCAAATATCAAAGTATCTGTGTATCTGTAATGACGTAATGTCCATATCATAGAATAGGATGAAATCAACAAGCCTTATTATTATTTTTGTAGTCGCATCTCTTTCTTCTGAGTAAGTAGATCATCTACTAATAATCTGTAATGCGCCAACATTACAACATTACTTGTTCCTTGGAAATGGCTTGAATTTCCAGGCCAAGATGATGTCAAAATCATAAATAACTAAACTTGTACCATGCATTACGCATAAAAGTAAAAATGCATCAAATACATAAGACCAACTGGCACAATAGCTTCTTCTTGTAATTTAGATACAAATGTGTCGAGTGGTTCAAAATCTCTGCATTTATTGGTGGTATTGATTGTTCTGGATATTTGCTATGGAAATAACCAATTGATTGATAATAACTAGAAGTGTTTAAATTGTGAAATTGTTCTCACCAATTATGATTGTGACATTATACACATTAGGTCTATACCCCTGTGGCCGGGGGGCCAAAACAGGCCCGCCAAACACACCCTAAAAACACATTGGTCGAAAAAGATACTCGCATTTACTCTGTGGAGGAGGTGAGGGACAGGAGGGTGCTAGTCACCTCCATCATAGACAACACCTCCCACCCACTGCACAGGACTGTAGAGGAGCTGAGGAGCTCCTTCAGTGGAGAAGTGAGGCACCCTCAGTGCAGGAAGGAGCGCTACCGCAGGGCCTTTATCCCCACCTCTGTCAGACTGTACAATAAGTCACTTTAAGTCACTTGCACTAGGACTAAAAGAAAAACCTGCACTACTATTGCCACTGTTTCTTTGATTGACACTTTTTAATTGCCACTTTTTATTGTATATAATATATCCTGAATTTAACATGTTCGCACATTTCTTTCTTTTGCACAATCTTTCTATCCATGCCAGATGTGACATGTACATTTCTCCTGTGTGAGATCAATAAAGTCTATCTTATCTTATCTTATCTTATCTAAGTTGTTAGGACAATATTGGTTGTATAATGTATAGGTCAAAAGAATACCAATCAGATGGTTGATAGCCAACCAAAGTAATTGGTTAAACCGACATTGGTTAAACTGCCTAAATTGCATCGGTCGGTGCTATATCAAAATGGATTGGTTGAAAACACAACCACAGTATTCTCCTCGACAAGCTGCATAATGTGTCTAATAAGGCGACACCTGTGTGGATGTGAAAGGCTTATTCTGTCTGACCTCAGACACTAAGCAGGGCAGGGCTGGTTGGTACTATTTGGTACTGTGATGGGAGAGCCCTGGGAGTCAGATATGTGCACAAATGATTGGTGGTGGCCGTCCACCGTTCGATAGGTCGTGTGATTGGTCATTCTGACCAGATATATTTGAAAACATACGTAACTATTTATAGATTTCATGTTTTAACAAAGAGCTTGGTTGGACACTTCACTATCAACTATATTGGATAAAATAATAACAAATTAACCAATTTAAGTGTATATACATTATTATATGTCTAGATATATAATTTATTCAATGATACTGCTCTATATTTGACAGAGCTCTTAAAGCAATTGATTGCCATCATCGTGTACCTCAACAATACACTTTACTTAAAACAACAACAACTACTCAAGTCCCAGACCAAAAAACCCACATCAGAAATAAGTACTTAATTGTAAAGTACAGCCAACATACTTGATCTTTTCCCCATCACACTGGAGTCATTACTGTAAACACAATCTACTCTCATTATTACCATTTGCATCTTCTTGGTTCGTTTCTTCAATATTTAAGGGAAAGCAGCGCCTCCCCCTCCAGTCTCTAGGGAGGGACGCTGTGTCTGCACAAGTCTCACTGAGTCACACAAGCAAAAATAAACGGGGCAGCTGTGAGAACAAGGCCTGGGAACCACTGGATTTAGGGGCAGTTAAGGGGGCAGGAAGAGAGTGGACCAGTGGGCAGTCGGGGGACATAAGCATCAGGGCTGTGGGAGCAGTGGACACAGTGTGCTTGTTTGGACTCTGAGTGAAGTAGTGAAACATGTGTAGTCTGTGAAATCACTACAATATCACACACAGTTAAAGATGCACTGAGTCACTTTTCTATAGTGGAAGTTACATTTCCCTCTTGCCTCTGTGTTTATGATTGTAGATCATAAATGCTGCATAAGGGTTTCCTCTTGAACAGTAACTTGAGCTGGTGGGTTTTTCATCAACAAAACAGTTTTCAATGGAAATGTTGAGCATCTATGTTGTATAACGATGGATACATTTACACGTGGGGTAACAAAAGTATGCAGGAACTGGGACCTGTCTACTGCACCTTTACCTGCCCCCTTAAAATTTTAGTTTCCAATTAGAAACACAATAAACTCAAACTCATGTATACATGCATGCAGCCTTCTTATGGTCCAACACATTGTCCATAATTTCTGTCACAATGTGTACAAGTAGGGAAGGGTATCAAAAATCATATATGAATGAATACATTTTTTTGAAACATTTATAAAATATACCAAAATAACTTATAACGTATAAAGCCTTGTAACATAACATTGCAGTTTCTCGCTTCTCAGCAAGAATGTCCTAGGTTCGAATCCCGGTCGGAACAGGGCCTTTCTGAGTGGCGTTTGCATGTTCTCCCCGTGTCTGCGTAGGTTTCCTCCGGGTGCTCCGGTTTCCCCTACCACTAAAAACATGCACAATAGGTATGAATGCAAATGAGAGAGTGAATGGATTTTATTTTAGTTATTGTGTGTTTATGTGCTTTTGTATGGATTACTTTATATATTATAAGAAGAAAAACATTTGTTAAACACAAAACAAAACTGAGTGAGTGTGAAATGTAGTGTTATGACAACACTAAAGCTGGAGCATTGTGTTTGTTTGTATTTTTTGCGCAGCTATCAATATTGGCAACACTGAACACCACATGAACAAACTTGATATCAAAAACAAGAAAAGCCATCAAGAATGCAGAGCGATTTGAGCGTGTTGCTCTGGGGTCAGCTGTCAGACCTGAACCCTGGCTAACCTTCCCACAATGCAACCTGCCTGGCTCATCGCCCCGCAGGATGAACACAAGGTAGCAGCTGATGTAATCTTTGATCCCACACCAAGCTCCTACAGATCTCCAATTAGATCTGCATTTGATTTCTTTTATTTGAAAAATACTTGAAATATGTTTGCTGGGGTTTGCTCTCATGCTGTTATGACTGTGCGTATGTTAGTTTAGGCTGACACCGTTGACTTTGAGATTATAAATATTAAAGCTGCCAAATACAACTCTGTTTAGTGGAGATTAATACGATTTATCAAGAGAAAAACAAATATAAACGGGATATTACAAATCAGTGTATCTGGAGCTGATACAGTTGTTACTTAGAATCTCTAATATAGAATTACATGGAATAAAACCCATACTAATCCACGTGTTAGCTGACTTTACTGTGTTTTACTTTTCATTTGGCACATACCACATATTAAAACACAATCATAGGACATGTAAAAATGTTGTTGTTGAGGATTGCTTTTGAGGAAGATTCACTTTTTGTGGTGAATTGGAAATATATTGGAATATATAAAGCCTTTTTCAGACAATTACATTTCAATTCATCTCAATGTATTCTTGTATAGCCCTAAATCACAACAGTAGTCATCTCGGAAGACAACTGTTGAATTCAGAAAAAAGAGAATCATTCAGTTCAAACACAAGAAATAAAACAAAAATGTGTTGATAAATGTCCATAAATGTCAAAAAGAGACAGTCAAAAAGTGTTATACAATTGTTGTGAGAATTTACCCCCCCTTCACTCCACACATTGATGGAAATGACATTGACATACAGGAGGATTGTACATGTTTTTAGTGGTAGGAATAAACGTATCACCAGCAGGTAACCTAACCAGACACCGGGAGAACATGCAAACTCTGTCTGGAGATGGAATCAAACCCAGGACCTTCTTGCTGTAAATTATAGGTTATTGCAAATGTCACTTTTGCGGTTACCCTAACTATTATGATGGACTTACAAATAATCGGTCAGTGGCATGATTGCAGGAATGTGTTTGTACCTTTTTTGCTAATCTACAATCTTTTCTGTAAAGGCCATTAAAAGTTCTTTGCTTAGCAAAATCAAGACATAATTTTGAAGCCACTTATGTGAATATGTTTGTCCATGATTCATAAATAGTTTGCATTACAACAAAATTACAAATGGCCCCAATTCAATTATAAATTATGGGCACAAAAATCAATGTTTTTCTGGTTAAATTTGATCTCAGAGACGGCTTGCTTGCACATGAGACAGGGGCATAATGTTTTCCTTGGCTACAGCTTTCAACACAAGTGAGGGGGCGTGTCCTGTGCTCACACACTCACTACTTTGCCAGTTAAAGCTATTATTAGACCAACGATAATTCTCAGATGACGTCATAATAAAGAAACTGTACCAAAAAACATGCATGGAAACACTTTATGAATTGTAATCATATATTACTTACTTACAAACATATAAACTTTTTCCCTTTCTGTTGTTGCTAATGGAAAGTTGTGATTTACATGAATCATATTTGGCATTGCTAGATTCTTTCCTCTTTATCCAGGCATGAGACCAGCAGAAATAATAATAATAATAACAATATATATTTTTAATTGATTTAAAACAGTAGTTATGTCGGAAGACTTAAAACGCACTTAAAACCGTTGAATTTGCCAACACAGATTATGGAATCAAACAGTTTCAAACACAATGAATAAATAATAATAATAATAGACCAACGGACTATCAACTGTCATATTAAGCAGGCATTATTACGAATGCACTATCAACATAAATATCAAAATGTCACGTTGTAACTTCCCTAAGGATCTAGGCTTGTCATGTTGTTGCTTGGAATGTCCCACTATAAGAACTGTGCATATAACATAATAAAATTGTGTATAATTTATTGTCATTATTGCTCATAAAAGCTTTGAAAAATACACATTATCAAAGTCAGCCGGGTCACCTCTTCATAGATCAGACTTCAAATCACCTGCTTGGGGATGGATAGGTTTGGAGATGGATAGGAACATTCCAGACATTATTCCTTGCATATCTTTGAACTTGCCTACCAACAAGCAATTCCCTTGTGAGCAATGAAGTTTGTCAAAGTTTGTGAGCATGACTAGAAAGAGGCAAGTCACAGAATCCATTATGCATCACTACATTAGTCTTAAAACCAGTTGTGTATTTTTAACATCAAATAATTGAGGCAGAGCAGATGCTAAAGCCGGTTGATCTACCACTGCCCTGTCATTTTCTGGCCAGCACAAAATACACAAACAATAATAAAAGTCCACATTGAACATCACTGAATACATTAAGGTGAAAGTACCTGTTTTGAACTTGCCCCGGCAGATTGGAGGAGTCTCCACTTGAAGGCAGGCCATAGGGGACAGCGGAGAAGCAGACGTCCAGCTCAGGAGTCCCATGGAGCAAATCACTGCCCAGCCAGGAGGCACCAAAGGCAGCTAGGACCCACCGAGAGCAGTCCCTCCTCTCACTGGCTCCAGCTCGGCCTCAGCCAAACGTGTGTCAAACCGGGAGGAGGAGGAGCGCGAGTCTGCTGGAGTTAACCCCTCACTGGCGCCACTCTCTCCCAGGAATCAGCCCTCAGAGAACAGTGCGAATGAGTTTTGAGATCCAGGAAATTCTCTCACAATCTGTAATATCAAAAGGTGGAAAAAGTTGGGAACATCATGTGCAGCACTAAAATGAACAAGGTTTTATGCTGAGGGAAGATCACAAGCAGCACGAGTGTTGGACAATATTGTGTATTTTCAATTTTTGTATAGAATTATTTGTGCAGGCAGTTCCACAAACTCAATGAAATATTTTTGTTATTGCATTCTGCCTTTTTCAATTAGTGGTGCAGAGCTAGCAAGTACTTAAGTATTGTTTTCTGGTATCTTTACTTTACTTTAATAATTATTTTTATGACAACCTTATACTTTTAATACTTATTTTTAGACCTGGGTATCTAAACTTTTCCAGATGAAAACATGACAAAAAAATCTGCAGGAGAAAGTTTGCCCCAATACATTAATTTTGGTATAGCCATGCTTCTACGTGAATTCATGTGTTGAGGTCAGCCATGCTTCTAAGTACATTTGTTGAGATTAGCCATACTTCTAAGTGAATTAATTAATGAGTTTAGCCATGCTTCTAAGTCAATTCATGTGTTGAGGTTAGCCATGCTTCTAAGTTCATTCATTTGTTGTGCTTCAATTATTTAACAAAAGATGCATTTTACCTACAATACATCCAAGTGTTTTCCTCTTTCCTTTTACTTAATTAAAGGAATGACTTCAATACTTTTACTTTTAGGAGTAGATGTACTCGTACTTTAGTCGCTGAGTTTAAAGGAGACTGCAGCAGCGGATTTTCACTGGAGCTAAACAGGAAGTGAGATAAGAGCGTTTTAATGGGAGTGCACCGAGACCAAAGAGTGTGACCTCAGAGGTGAAGCAAGAGACTTCGGACAACACATTCAGACTCCAAATATTCAGCCGAACGCAAACACGATTATTCCAAAGTAAGTTTTTGACGGCAGACACCTGTGCAAATATCATGCTTTAATGTTTTTCACATTCTGCGAAATGATTTGAAAGTTAAATTTCATGTTTGATCACAAAACATCCTCCATCCATCCATTTTCTTGCCCTTAATCACAAAACATCCTACTTTATCATAATAATGGGGAACTATATGGCACAGAGCTGCGGCGTGCACTCATTGGAGTCTTGGTAAATGGAGTGAACAACATCTGAAATCTGGGAGGGATTGAGTGCTGCCTCCCAGAAAGAAGGTTGCGAGTTCAATTCCACCCCACAAACCTTTTGCATGTTTCTCCCTGTATCTGAGTGGGTTTCCTATGGGCGCTCCAGTTTCCCCAACCAACCAGAACATGGTCTATAAGTAAAATCCTCCCGTCCTGACCAAGCCATCCGGACTGTTGTGACCACAGCTCCTGACAGGTCGCCTTGTAGTGGCATTGGAGGATGGGTCAAATGCAAAGGACACATTTCTCTATGGGGATCAATGAAGTGTGTCTTAAAGATGCAGTCTGGGGTTTTTCCCAGAGGCATTTTTTAAAAATATTGCGGGAAAACGTCCCTAAACCCAAAAAGTAGTCAAGTTATCATGTGTTTTCAAATAGTAATGTAATTGACCAGATGCCTATAATCTCCAAAAATGAATAGCAAATATTTTGGAGTGGACCGATAAAAATAAACCAATGGGATGCGTTTACTCTAGTGCTGTCCAACGATTAAAATATTTAATCGCGATTAATCGCATGAATTTCATAGTTAACTCGCGATTAATCGCAAATTAGTCACCCATTTGCGTGCTGTGTGCAATTGCTTTTTTTATTGAAAACAATGTGTAGTGTTATATTACACACTAACATTTGATGCAAAATCATCAATAAATGGATGACAAAATAAATAATTGGTAACAAAAAGCCCCTTCAATGTGTGTGTGGAGTGTGTGTGTTTATGGGTGTGGGTGTGTGTGTGTATGTGTGGGTATAGACCATAGACTGTATAGAAACATCATGGTGTCATTATGATGATGATAAACAATTTTTTTGTAAATTTGTTCATGTAAATACTCTATGCTGTTTCTCAGTTTACTTTCGGTATATCTATGACTGTATACTGTTTGCTTGTATTGCCTTTTTTATTAACCCCTCCCCCCCATCTCCCACTTCATGTCCCCCCCCTCCTATGTGCCCTTCTGGGTTTCTTCTTTGGCCCCCTGTATCTCCAACTACATATTGTTTGTAATCTCTGTCTACAATGTATCTTAACTAGTCCTTTTCTTTGTGTCTATTTTTTTCTGTATATGTGTTTGTCTGCAATAAAAAGTAAAAAAAAAAAAAAAAAAAAATTTTTTTTTTTTTTTAATAATTATAAAAAAAATTAATGGCGATAAAAAAAATGACGCCGTTAATATTGATTTGCGTTAACGCGTTAATAACGCGATATTTTGGACAGCACTAGTTTACTCCCTTCACCCTCTTCCTGTTTCTCGCGAGTGCGTGCACCTGAGTTATTGGATTTTCTAAAACCTAAAAGGGCTGAACAGAAAAGGCCAATTTCACAATCCACTCTCCCTGTTGTGACAAAGAAAAGAAAATGCTGGATGTTTGGTTTGGTGGAGAGGCGAGGGGAGGGGGGAGTGGTTTCGAGTTGGTGCTACGGCTAAGCTAATAAAATCGCATATTGCATCTCTAAATGTAACTACTTTCTATTCATATTTTCTGATTTTGGTTTTTAATGATATAGTCTATAAAACAAAAGAGTTCAGACAGAAACCAACTGGATATCCCTCATTTGTTTCACAGATTATTCTATTAGCTGAAGGTTTCACTCACCAAAACATGCAAACACTGATTCAGTAACAGAGATACGCATTTGTAGATTGAGGTCTTATAATGTTCCATAAATATAAACCAAACTTATGTTCCAAACAGAAAAAACATGTGCTCAATGCCAACCTGATTGTGTTGCTGGCTCCAAAGTTGTTCTAATCTAACTCAATGACTCATTATACAAACAAATTGCCTTGTTTTGTTCAAAATGGGTTGTTTTCATGAACCGGTTTTGGTCTTAAATGGTCAAAAAGTGAATACAAAATGGATGAATAGGTTATTGGAAATACCTTTGCTGGTTTGTGAATTCTCATTGTGGAAGAGTGCTCCTTCTCATGCACCAGCTGAAACAAAAACCAACACATTTTCTTTTTTTTTTGGCTCAACGTGACTTGCTTTGTTTGTTTGTTCCTGTGATCGACTGCGAAATGGCAAAAAATATGAGTCACTTAGATTAGAAAGAGTCACAGATTGCATAATGTGACTCGCAGACCTCCCACAACACAAAACGGTCGCGTATCTTTCCATAACAAACGTCAAGCCGAGTCTGTGGCTGGGGAACACACAGCTGCGCTCCTACCTATATGGACAAACATCTACTTTAAACTTACTTGTAAACAACGTGAAACATTTGGCCTCCAACAGTTTTTAATCAAAACATTTCTCTTCAAATTGTATCAATGTGTTGGATTTGCAAATACAATGGCAGGGCTTTTTTCATGCGTCCCATGTGGTTGCTGCTTTTATGTTTTCGAGAATATAGAATTTATGAGGCGCTCTCTCAAACATTAATAATTGTTCACACTTGATGTCAAATTTTGTTGCTTCAATGTTAGGGGGGTCGAATCCCTTTTACACACGCAAACCCATGATAAATAGACATCTTTGTGCATTATTTTCATGTACAGCAAACACCTGTTATATAAATTCCCATGTCACATTTGTGATAAATAGGATCTTAGGGTGTGCAAAAAGACAGGAAACATGCAAACAGGTTAAAAAAGTGAACACATTTTTTCATATTTTGTGCAATAAAGATATTTTGAGTACAATTAAAACTAAAAAGTGCAGAGAAAAACCAGTGACTGTTTACAGACGTAGTGCAGGCCATTAAAGTGATAGTCTGTAACACTAAATTAATTACAAATTTTAAGAAATGTATTAAATTGACCTCCTGGGCTTAAATTTTGATATGAAATAAGTCATTTTATGAGTTATAATATTACGGGTAAGTCCTGCCTTCCCTTCTCTTAGCTATAGCTCAAAATCCCCGATGCCGTCCAGTTTAACCAATCAAGTGATGCCAGTTTTTTGTTTTTCACGGAGCCTCCGAATCAAGCCTCCGTTAGGCTCTGAAACTTCATGAAAACTTAACAAAGAATTCTGAACATCCGCGCTGAGTTACCCATTTATATACTGAACCTATATCCATAATAATTTATATACTGAACCTATATTCATAATCATTTATATACTGAACCTATATCCATAATCATTTATATACTGAACCTATATCCATAATCATTTATATACTGAACCTATATCCATAATCATTTATATACTGAACCTATATCCATAATGCAATCCTCTGCATATGCATCCTATAATGTTCAATTAATGTTAATAGCTACTTCCGGGTTTACCGCGATAACTTTTTTTTTCCGCATTAAAACATTATTTTTGTCATGAAAACGTTAAGGGATAATTCTGAAAACCTCTGTGCATGTGTATTAATAATGTATGAGTAAAATGTGTTCTTTAACATTTATATGTGTTGATTGATTGTTACGGAAAAGTAGGTGTAGACCAATCAGAAAGCAAGGGGGAGGAACTTGGGTCGTTTTTGTACCTCTCTCTCTTTTTTCGGACAAATTCCAGACAATCACTGAAAGGGACTTATTGTACAGTCTGACAGCAGTGGGGATGCAGACCCTGTGGTAGCGCCGCTTCTTGCAGTTGGAAGGAATCATCCACCGAAAAACTATACAGTGAACCTTTATATAAACACACTACAAAGATATAAACTGTAAAAGCCTTCTGAACCTATGGACATCC